AGTAGTAGTAGTAGTAGTGGTAGTGGTAGTAGTCGTAGTAGTCGTAGTAGTCGTCGTAGTAGTAGTAGCAGCAGTAGGAGTAGGAGTAGGAGTAGGAGTAGGAGTAGGAGTAGTAGTAGTAGTAGTAGTAGTAGTAGTAGTCGTAATACTATACGTCTACCACTTTTTTCCTGTCAGCCACTCAGCCACTCAGAATCTTGAGTGGCTGAGTGGCTAACAGGAAGAAAATCCGCATTTCTACGAATAATCTGATTTTCAACAGTTAACAACTTGCATTCATCGACAAAGGCATTGCGGAGAGCTTCGAAATGCAAATCCTAGAGAAAGTAGTGCCGATGTCCAATTTGTGACAACTCTTCTGGGGAAGGCACTGCGGTGTCTCCGCGGGTCTTGAAGAGGAGGTGTCCGTGAGCCCCCATTTCTCCTCCAGTCTTCAAGGATGCTCTAGATCCAAACTGCATACGGCCCATCCAAAAATCCTCCCACAACAGTCCCATGCCCACATGGTTTCATACATCAAATGTCAAATGCAGTGTGAAGAGTAACCCTTTGGACAGTTATCAAAGGGATACATATATGGCCGAACCAAAACAATCAATCTCCGATAGAGAAGGGATATGAAGGGATATGTTCGTACCTCCAAGTCACGGTTCATCTTGCGGATCCGATCTTCTGCCTCGGTCACATGTGGTGTTGGCGAGACAAATATGAATCATTCTCATGCACAAAGAAAATCAACATCGCTGAACATGCATGGACTGTAAAGCGGTTGGAATCCTGGAGCTAGTCCTTGCACGAATCTCTTCTTAATGGCTTCTGAAATCTTCTGGATACCTAGCTAAAGTTTCCCGACAAGAGACCCTAAACAAGACCACTATTAGAGGGCACACAAGGTGAATGAAGGCACAGAGATGAGGGCGCACACGGAGCGCACATAATATACGTGTACTGTATAGCTTATTATACATGTGAGAGCAAACAATAAGAGAACACACACGTGAGAGCACGCACAACCCAAAACTGCAGATGCCATGAGAATCTGCACTTCGAGGTTCACAGGGTGCTTTGCCTGCCATGAAATCACCTCAATGTCCACAAAGTGCTGAGCCAAGAAATCTGCGCGTCGAGGTTAACAAATTCATAACACATTCAAAGCCCTGTGCCTGCCATGAAGTTGATAAAGTGCTGCGCTTGCCATGAAATCTACACTGCTACCACATCACGCAGACCTGCTTAGGCGTTTCGCAAACCAGGCACTTCCAAAGACCATCAAAGACCACTTAAGATATCTCCCAAATTCGAGGAACCAGCGACAACTTCATTCTCCACGATTCACAGTGCCCGCCACGCAGTCTGAGCGCTACAGAAGACACGACAATCAAGGTCAAAAGTAAAACTGCTCCAATCTCCCGTACCTGCCACTCTTAGGCCTCCCATGAAAAGTGACACACCAAATCCGAAGATGCCCACGAAACAAACGTGGGGGCCAACTTTTTGCGTGACTGCCACTGCTGACAAAAATCGGCAAGGGCAAGCGCAAATATGGCAACGAACCCTGCCTTGCACTTACCGCATTAGCTGCCAGCAACCTGTTTGGGGAATGCAACTTTAAGCCAAGCAACACCGCCAGGAACTGGTTGGTCCTTCTCGCTTGCTTCCATGCGACTGCGCTTTTGTAACCTCAGGTTGCTCATCATGCACTTGACAAAGTGCGACCAGTCACAACATTTGACTCCACGTGTTCGATACTGCCTCGTCAATCGCCAAACGACGCAAACTCGGGACATCTTGTAGTGACATTGGCGATAGCAGAGTGCCCGCACAGTTGTTGAAATGAGAAGAGTCTATGATCACTTCTGGACTGCCACCTGCTACCCAAATGACCAAGCAGACCCCCAATTTCTTGAAGTGCCATGCTGAAGAAGGAATTATTGGAAAATAACTAACTATAACTGTGTTCCTCTGGCTGGTGATCAACTGAGTCAATAATCCCTCAACCTTTTGCCAGTCAAAGGCACGCCGATGGCGACTGGAGCTCCTGAGCCATCTTCTCCAGTTTCTCTACCGCTGACGGCGATGACCTCACAGCCAGTAGAATCAACTTATATATCGGGACCGTGCAATAAAGCCACAAAGGTCTCCATCACAGCGTTCAAAAGATCAGTCTGGGACATAATAGGACTCAAAAGTCATTTCCTTAAGAACAACAAACACACTTGGTTCTAGATACTCTGTGATCCCATACTTTTAGATCCATTTCCTAGCTATAAAACGATCAATCATGTGGAATGCCCTATACAATGATAAATCAGAGCCCCTATAAAATGATCCCCTACAAGAAGCACGACCGAAATGGACATGTCATTCCCGCACTTAATAGGTCGATCAAGCTGGGGTTTCAATCCATGCAACCTGTGGGTCTGGGATCTTCCTCTTTGAATCAAGCCTCAATCAAAACCCAAACCGTGAAATATCTAGCCTCAAAAAGCTACTCAAAGCGAGCTGTGTACCGGTACTGCACTTGAGAAAGTACAACCTACATGGTAGGCGGCTGATAGGGTGCTGCTTCGTTTTATCATCATGACAGGTTGTTTTCGTGCCACCCCACCCCCATCCCCAACGTAGCATCAACTTCACGACGTGAGTGCCAGCGCAAGTTAACATGCCCCACCCCACACCACCCCCAGCCCCAACGTAGCATCAACTGAAAAGTAAAAACGTGAAGAAAAGCTGGCGGCGTTCTATCAGCCGCCAGCCAACTACATTGTATCGGCTGAACAGTGGACAGGACCATTGTCTGGCATGTGGTTCTGTTTCTGCTTCCAGGAACATTGTGAGAAACTCACGCAGCCCTGGGGGCATGTGGCTCAAACCGCAAGCCCATCTGGTGTGAGTTCTGCCTGGCAATGGCACCATCACTTCCAACTGTGTGGGGGATCGCTACTTGTGGTGGAGGAGTTTAGCAGCTCATTTGGAAAGATCGCACGTTTGTTCAGATCCAGAGTGGTCATCAGAAACGATTTCCCAGTTCTAGAAATGACATCCAAGTGTTTCCAGTTCAGAAGTGTTCTTCTCCCAAGGCTCACAATGCGACATTCCCAGAGCAGGCGGTGGACAAAGGAACCGCAAGTGCTGGTTGGACACCACTTTGTGCTTTAGCACCAAAATGACAATGACATTTGCATTGCAGTCAGAGTGTGAAGTGATGAAGAGTGCAAGTGCTGTCACTAGTCAGAGTCCAACAGGGATTTCATACGTAGCTCCGTGATTGAATTCCTGCTAAAGGCGTGGAGATGGACTCGCCGGCTCAGCAAAGATCTTGACACAAAGGAGGCTTGTGTTCCACTGTTGGCTTGATGCATAAATTTGTTCTGCCAGCGCCAAATCCTTTACCTTTCTCCTGCAAAGAAACCTTATTTGATTGAACTAGTTTGCATAACATCATATGAACTCCTGTGAGCAAAAGTTGCAAATGGGCTAGCTTGCATAACCCCAGTGGTTTGACCAGTTTGCACATTTTGCAACAGCCAATGTGTTCGGCCTCTCAGCTTCTTCAATCGTAAAGTCAGTTATCACATATTGGTTGCATGTTTGGCATTCTTGTTGGGTCTCGACGTGGGCCCTTTTGGCAAAGCAATTTGTCAGGACTTAGAGTGCCAAAGAAAAATTGCCAGGGGATAATTCTGCAGGAAGCTGTTGCTTTTTGTAGCCGTAGCCAATAGTTTGGGGATTTCTTTCCTAGCTACTTGTTGATTGTCAGTTATTTTCCTTGGAGTCGATTCCTCCATGCCTGTTTTGCTTCACTTCTGGCCCTTCTGGCTTTGAGTCTGCGTTTTTGGGAGGCCTGCGGATTGAATTCGTTCTGTTGGCAGGACTTGGCACAGGCCAAGCGGCAATGTCCATTCGTTCACATGATACTCCAGTTATTTTTTTGCTTGTGACTTGCAGCATGCAGGTTCTTGCAAGCAAGGGAGAGCCGTGCAAGGCAGGCTTCTCAGTGAGAGAGCAACTGTTGGTCACAGTTGGTCAGCAGTTGTATCTTGTGAGCACAACCCCTGCCATAGCACTGAAACACGGAAAAACAAAACACCTATCTATCAATTTGCAAAATGTGCGTGTTTTTTTCACTCTTGTTGTTTTCTTCCGTCCATGCATAATTCCTACAAAAATTACCCTTTCCGGTTCAACGAGTCCAAGAAAATTAGTTCCTAATGATGATGATTCCCGACACATATTTATTCTGCCACGACAACCATCGTCGGTGCCTCCTATAAAAAGAGCATCGGAAACTCAATTGATTCATCATAAATAAAAACAGAGGCATTTACGCGAAAACAATCGCAAGGTATATTTCTAGTAGGATTCTTGCAAGTGGTTGCTGGACTGCATCTCCGATGATTGGATTCTTAGATTCTCACTCGCTTTGCCTGACAGGCATACTGAAGTCTTCGCGATTTGTCCTGAGCAAACTAATGTGAGAAGCCTCCAGCAAGGTCCTACTTCAGAAGTTTTGATGGCAAAGGTACATGACTGGATGACTGGCACCAATAATTGCCATCGCTAAGTGCTTGGCGGGCGCTGAAAAGGAGGGTAAGAACCCCTTGTGTTCCTTGCCTTCCATCCATCTAGAAGGTGAGCCATGGCACGGAGACGCTGAGAACTCTCATCCACACAGTGTGTGTGCTCGACACAATGTCTATGGCGGGGAGGACCTTATCGCACTGGTGCTTAAAGTGCTTGAAGCTTCAGACTTCGTTGACATGCACCACCACCCGGGGAAAACAGCTGAATTTTGGCTGTTTGGCTACAGTAGACTCTAGACCAACAGTCCGGAAGGATGTTTTGATATGTGTTGCGTAAATGTTCTTCGCTGGTGAAGGTCCGAGCCAGGAGATGCCGTGAGATGCATCAAGGGAGCTGTGTGCTGCAGCAAAAAGAGCAAGCAGCCAGGCTTCATACAGATACTGCACTGGATGCTAAGTCATCAACAGCCAAGTGAGATGTCCAAACGATGGGACATACTGGAGGAAATCGTGAGTGGGCACTGAAATGCGGCCTTTTCTACAGGAATCGCCGCAGGACGTGCGAAGCAGCGATTGCCAAACAGCCTAGCTTCAGCACCACTCAGCACAGGCCTGCATCAATGCATTGTTCCTCGAAACTTTTGTCAGGTAGATGAACCATCGGCTCACGCAAACTCAACAACAACGCATTTGCAAGATTTTGTTGTAAGCTAGACACTTGTGCGTGCAGGTCAGGTGCTCTGGCTTCTGATCACATAGATGCCCACATCCCTTGGATGCGTTTCCATAGATGCACCACGACATCAAATCGGACACACATCTGTATCTTTCAATGACAAAACTCCAAGAAGCAACAAACAGCACACATGAAACGCCACATCTGAGATTTTCCACTTGTTCGCTGACTCGATGAGGTCGCTGAGCTCAGATGAGCCGTCGTTCTGCTTCCTGATGCAATGCTTGGGTGCTTGGGCGAAGGGATCCAAGAACACATCCGTGAAATGAACCGCAGTGAAGTGGCTCACAACTGTTTATGGCTATGACTGGCTCGGCTTCCACCAATCCCACAGTTCCCACAGATCTGCAAAAGAAACATACAACAGGAATCAACAGGACATAGCTGAGAAGAGAAAAACATGCCAAGATATCTCTCTCATCTAGTCTCTGAAGGTCACATTGGTAGGCGTTGCAAACGACGCAACAAACCTGGGTCAACATCTGCTCCTCGCAGCGCTGCTCCTTCTGCACTTCGCCCCTGGCTGTAAAACGCATCTTTCTGCCTTTGCGACACATTTAACATGCTGCATTAAGGATTGCTTCAGGTCAAACATCAAACATGGATGCTGTTGGATGTTGGAAAAAAAGAAACATCTTCAAAGCTGCAAAATTAAGTGTTTGTTATTGATTGTTCTTGAGGATGCTTGGATCCGCCGCCTGTGCTTCAACTCTGGTTTGATCCACCAAAGGTTGTGCATTGCCCTTGGTTCGGGGTTGGCAGTTTGGCAGTCCGGCACCTTCGTTCCATGGAAAAGGCCCCTTAAAATGCCTTCAAATGAGTCTGGAGTGGTCAAAATGGTTGAACACATTCTAAGATAGCAGCGGCAACATCGAACACCAGGGACATCAAGATCATCAAGGGTGCATCTTTGGCAAAATCAAAGGTTAACATGTCACCGTTTGAGGCTTATTCCGTGTCTTGACACGGACCTCAATGAGTTACTGTAACCATTTGGAAAAAGGCTGAACTTCCACATAACAGTCCGTTAGATAATTACGGTTGTGCGGTTACAACAATTGTCCCATTAGGATGATAGAATGCTCCCACAACGAAAGAAACTTGGGCGGCTTTCCAGTTCACAAAACGGGAGAAACTCATCTGAGACGTCGACCAACGTGAAAATTGATCTCCAAGAGCTGCGCGAACCAGCCACTGGACACTGTCCTTGGCTCTGCGCAGGCTCTAAGTTGCCACACAAAGCCAAAGCCGCCACCCTATGACCATGTTGCACGGCAAATTACCCTCAAATTTACTGCTTATTATTTGCATTGTTTCAGAACTTCTCGCAACTGTTTGCTCAGCTTCATCACCCGTGTACAATTCTGGCAACCATACTCTACATCCGTCTGGCTTTCACAGTCTCCGCATGGTCCTCTGCGCGAGGTGCACAAAGACACACGCATCCAAAGAGTTTCGTACTTTCACCCAACATGTTTCTAGTAGCGTCCTCTTGTTACAGGTGAAACGATTACCAGTGAAACGATTCCCAAGGAAGCTTCTTGTTACTAGTAGTTTCAAAGACATACTAGTAGCTTTATTGTTACTAGTAGCTTCAAATACTGTTCCCAGTAGCTTCTTGTTACTACTTTGATTGTCTGTGTCTTCTCAGCCAGATTCTAATAACAGGACACGCGTATGACCTATCCAAGCGGGCCAATATAGAATTGAAAAGTCTGGACATATTGCATATATTAATGCTCTCTTAAGCACAGCAGAATGCGATGAAGCCTACGCTGACATGAAACGCTGGAGCAAGCCTTGGAGCGATTGCAAGTTCCGTGAGACGAGGATGAAGTTCTGTGAAGCGAAGTAAGGCTACCAAGCGGCTACCAGTGCAAACTGAACGAGACAAGCTGAGGTGAAGTCGCGAGAAATATCAAAAAAATAAGGAAAACTAGGATTGGAGACCGGACGACAACAGCAATTTTGAGCGTTAAAATGAGTGAAAAACCAAGAGCATGCTTCAACGAAGTGCATCACAGTACAGCCACAGGCAATCGATTCAAAATAGACATCCATTTGCAGAACGGCCTTGGCAGTAAAACAGCTCAAGGCAGAGGACATGAGCTCAACAGACAAAATAATTCATTCCGAACCTCCACACTAGCAGTCAGGTGGTGGAAACCCCACACAAAAGGCTCGGCGAAGACCTGGTGGTGCCTGTTTTCATGTTCAGGGCTTCAGCCTGCACCAAGTACGAGCAAGCGAGTGTTTAGCCACTGGGGCTGGCACGTTTGGCGCAGTTCGGTTCCACGAGGGCTCCTCCGTTAGGGTCTTTTAGGTGTTTGTTTTCGGCTCCACGAGGCCAGGCCCGAGTTTTCCTGTACAGGGCCCTTGTCGATTTACGTTTTTGTGAGCGGCCTGAGGTCCTGTGGAGCATCTGCGCCGGCGCATGAATTAGTACAAAGTCATGGCAAAAAGAGCAAGACAAATTGGGCCAAACGTGCGAACCATATACAGTAATCAAATGATTTGGTATATAACTAACATGCTACTGGACGCATATGATATGAGATGCCTGAGCAGCAAAATCAAGGTGTGGCGGTTGAAGTCAACGGTTGAACATGAGGCACGGCAAAAACCAGGCGGGTTGGCCGAGGTCAGCTGATGCGAGTTGCACCTATTCTACTTGGAGAGGTTAATATCCTTGCTCTCCAACTCTGATGTGGTTTCTCGTGGCTCTGGAGCTTGGATGAGGCATCTTTTTGTCAATGAATATATACTGTATTGTGCAATTGACAAAACAATCTGAGGTGAACAAACTCAAGCCGAGCTTTCAAGAGCTTTTTTTCGCGACAAGTGTTCCCCAGCTGACACCAAGTCCTTCGAGGACTTCCTTCACCATCTGCTCACTGCTCCTGAACAGGAAGAGTACACCCCACCTTCCCTCGGCCAGGCAAGGAGATCACTTTTAAGGAGGTCAACTTTTCACACCTGACAACTTCTATTCCTAACAGTTACTACTAGTAACAAGTGCCACGCTAGTAGTAACAAGTGCCTTACTAGTAGTAACAAGAAGCTATTAGAATTATAATAGATTAAAATAAATTAATAGCTTCTTGTTACTACTAGTAAGGCACTTGTTTCTACTAGCTTCTATTCACACCTGATACCTTCAGTTCTCGAGACATCATTCCTCAACACTGAAAATGTTCCAATCACTCGTTGACTGAGGTTACAAACAATGTGAACGTGAAAGCCTGCACATGCTGAATGGTGAAAGCAGGACGACGGATACTACAACCAAAAAAACAAACGACCAAAATAAATTGAACACATATTACCAAATGAACACGAAACAACGTTGCCTCTGCGATCAGAAAAGGTATTAGTCAGAAAGAATGTGGAGGAGGGCTTCCGTTCGGTGATAGATTTGTACAAAAAGGATACGAAGGTCAATGTAGGCATAACTCTAGATATGTTTTCCAAGTGAATGAGGGCACAACCGAACAAACAAAGACCAAAAAACGTACAAAAAACTATCAAAAACTACAATTCCTACACTGCGCCCTTTCCTACAGTTACCGGTAAGCTTGAGATCCAGATGGAATTGGTGAATGTCAATAGTTAGTTTCTTGTGAGATGTAGATTCTGAAATCAAGTCTATGGCGCTACGGATTGGTCTGCATCGATCTTTTGTCTAAGTGTACCAGAAAAGCAGCAGCCAAAGAAAAAGGCAAACAACGTAAAACAACAGGTCACAGGGCCAATACCTTATCAGGTCACCAGCTGTTTTCATGTTGCAAAATGTGTGGCTCACAGGTCACAGGGCCAACCCAAATACCTTACTAGAAGCAAGGCTTGCCTGCAACGAAGTGCTTCAAGCGCCACCAGCTTGCGCCGCCGCAACGGCTGCCCCTGAGA